ATTATTCTAATAGGATGAGTCTCCAGGCACTGCCAATCCCATATTCTAATCTTAGAGGAGCAATACAGATTATTCTAATAGGATGAGTCTCCAGGCACTGGCTTAATGTTCGGAGAAGCAGCAAGAGGGACTGATTCCCCTTGAGTAATACCTGGCTTTAATGCTCTATTATTTACCTTTTGGGTCAATGTATCTCCTTCCATTTAATTATGGGTTAAGAAGAATTTGTCATAGTTCATGTTGGCTTCCACTGATTCGCTGCCTCTGGCAGCTTCATTAACAAAACAGTCTGTTCATCTGCTTCTCTGAAAGCTGTGAGCAGGAGAACAAAAACACACCACTAACCAATGTCTTCTCAACACAGTATAGAGAATTGAAGGTACAGATCGGACAAAGGAACTGCATGTAACTTTTTTCTCTCATTCAGAGCAATCGATTTCAGGGTACAACTTTAATCATGACTTCAAACTCTTCAGCAAATGATCGGCCTCATGGGCATGACATAAGTAGTGAAAGTGATTTTTAAACAACAGTCCCAGAATGTTTACCTCTGAATACATTTCCAACAAGGTACCCCAGGGAGGCGCCATGCTTGATAGATTCTGTTATTGCTCAAAAACCTTTTGGAACTGACTTTTGGTGGCCACAGCACATTCTATGAAACATTATGTGGTGATAAATTACATATATATTTTGAGGATGAATTTTCTTTTTGAAAGTAGTTAAGATTCACCCAGAAACAAGTCAGGTGAACGAAATGGGTGATTAAGCTGATTGATACCATCTGGGTATCAAAAATGAAATATAATCTCATAAAATAGCAAAGTTGTGTGTGTGTGTGCGTGTGTGTGCGTGTGTGTGAGAGAGAGAGAGAGAGAGAGACTCACAAACTAGTCCTTGAAGGTAATTCCAAAAGAGGAGTTCTATAAATGTTTGATCAATATAAGTACTTTAGTAAAAATGATACGACTCCATGGTAAAGAAAGGATGATTCTTTTGACGGTCAGCCTTCATCTGGATTTTTAAGTTCTGGTATGTTCATTGAGAAAGTCAAGTTTCTTTACTGACTTGGTAAGAAAATTGATTACAACCAACAGACTACTCGATGAAACAGAAGCTGGTTTCTCTCTTGTGTAAAAGTCTGCAGGACTGGGGTGTTGAGTCGAATCCACGAAATCCTTAGGGACCAGCTTCCTGCTAGCTCATGGCTCTGCCATCCCTGGGATGTGTCCTTCATCCTCCTGTTGCAAGCCATGCTCTGGCCGTCATCACACATTCACGTTTAGGCAGTATGGGTGTATGGGAGTAAGAAAGGACACACGGTACTGGAAGTCTAGCTGCCCTGTGACGGTTCCACTCACATCTCATTGGCCAGAACTCGTCACATGGTTCTAGCTGAAAAGAAGGCTGGGAAATGTAGTCTTTATCCCAGGCAGCCATGTGCCCAGCTGAAAGCAAGGGTTCTATTATCAGGGTGGCACGCAAGAGCAGACATTAGGATTGACAACTAGCAATCTATGCCACAGTTACCTTTGCTTACCGCTTACATTTTAGTGAGCTTAAAAGATGAAGTGATATCATTTGCCCCAAAACGCGCTTAACAGAAATAATTTTATTTCTAGTTATAAATCATTTTGTGGCCATTGAACAGGAAACTGTGCCCTGTGCATTATATATACATATTGTTTTATTTAATTCTCCTAATACCCCATATAATAGGTACTGGCATCCCCATTTTACAAACAAGCAAACAGATTTCGAGATGTAAAAATCCCAGATTAAGCAAGATCACACAGCTAGAGCTAGAATTTGAACTCAAAACCATCCGTCTCCAGAGCCTGAGCTCTTAACCACATTGTTATTCCCCAATAAGGGAAAGATCTTGGAAAAGCTGATTTTTTGCTAGAACTCTGGGACTCAAATGTTGGTAGTGTTTGGAAGGACGCCAAAACTAAGGTTTACCAGTTTTCACTCAACAAAACTGAAGTGCCTTCTATGAGCCCTTTGATGGGATTAATTTGTTAACTGTAAGTGTGAAGCCCTTCAAACCATCCAGAAGTGTTTTCTCTCTTATTTATTTATTCATTTATTTTTTTGAGACAAGCTGGCTAATTTTCTATTTTTTGTAGAAACAGGGTCTCACCATGTTGCTGAGGCTGGTCTCGAAGTCCTAACCTCAAGTTATCCTCTCACCTCGGCCTCCCAAAGTGTAAGGATTACAGGCTTGGGCCACTGCACCCAGCACCCAGAATCATTTCTTGCCACTCCACTGATGATGTCTAATTTCCCTCATGCCACCAGTGTGGACCGGAAAGGAAGGAAAGAGAGGAGGGATGGAGGAGGGGAGCAAGGGAAGGAGAAGGGGGAAGGGAAGGAAAGAAGGAAAGAATGGGAGGACAGGGAAGTTTCTAGGGCTAGACCAGTTTCACTGTCAACTCAACCTGGGGCTCCCTGTGCAAAGATAGGGATATTTAAACATTTCCATGGCTGGGAAATAACAGTTCTTGCCCTTGGGACAAAATGTTCTCTCCAAGCACTTGGGTGAACCTTCAGTAGGAAGAGGAAAAAGAACCGCATTTTCTCGGCTGCCTTTTCCAACAGAACATGATGAAAGTGATTTTGTTATAGTACAGAAAATGGCTAGTGGCTGCCGATCGCCTTTGTGGTCTGACAAAATTTAAATTCTACTCCGCTGAAGACACTGTGTCCCATGAAAGGTGTGGTCTCATTTCGTGCTCAGTGTCTGCGGGCAGTGACAAGGGCTAAAGCAGACAAGCCTGAGCCCGGGAGAAGGGGCGCTCTCAGCTGCTAAACTTTTGATGCTGTTTTCTTAGAGTCCCTGGCAGAACTTATCCAGATGTGAAAAGACCTCTAATCCTGCATTATTTTCGTGAAGGAAAAAGAGTGTTAGTGTCTGCAGAAATCTAAAATATCCTTACAGGCCAGGCGCGGTGGCTCACGCCTGTAATCCTAGCTCTCTGGGAGGCGGAGGCGGGCGGATTGTTTGAGCTTAGGAGTTCGAAACCAGCCTGAGCAAGAGCGAGACCCCGTCTCTACTAAAAATAGAAAGAAATTAATCGGACAACTAAAAATATATAGAAAAAATTAGCCGGGCATGGTGGCACATGCCTGTAGTCCCAGCTACTCGGGAGGCTGAGGCAGGAGGATCGCTTGAGCCCAGGAGTTTGAGGTTGCTGTGAGCGAGGATGATGCCACGGCACTCTAGCCTGGGCAACAAAAAAAAAAAAAAAAAAGAAAATATCCTTACAGAATAAAATGCCAAACCAAATTTTCAGCAGGCGCATGTACTCTTACACGTTAAGGGTTATAAAATGAATTGTGACTCTTGGGGAGTTAGAACAATGAGCAGTGGGCAGGCAAGAAATGCTGGGAGAGTTGGAGGCTTCCTTAAAAGTCCTCCAGTTTAGGACAGTCCAATCTCATTTCCCGTCGCCAGGAGCCCGGAGGTCCCCCTAATCAGTTTACTGCTCTAGGGTGCCGCCATCAGTTTCTCAGCTCAGGACAGGAAAAAGAAGCCCTGAAAGCCAGCTGGGGGGTCTTTGCTGAGCTTGCCCCTCTGGAGTGTAAACGCCAAGTTGCCGATGCGTTACAAGGCAATGGGCGCTCATGATGCACCGTTTTATTATATGTTTTCAGTGTTTTCAGTGTTCATTATCGGGTTCAAGATCAACTCACATGGGCCCTCAGTTTCTCCTACCTGTGCAGGCTCATGGAGAGCGGAGATGACACCCTTTACTCAAGCACTATTCTTCACGCTCAACCTTCTACCTCCACCCCCGTGTAGAGCACTCACACCTCTAACAGCCCATCCATTCCTTTGGTGGTTTGTCCGCTCCCTCATTCATTTGTTCACCCACTCATCATCATCTTTTTGTGTGAACTCAGCACGAGGCTGTGCAGGGCTAGTGCCGGAAGTGCAGCAGGAGTTCAGAGGAGGTGAGGGGTGAATGGCGTCAGTAATTTCTGATGTGCTGGTTTGGACCTTTGCAGAGCATGGCTCACAATAAACACTTGTTGGATTATCATCCTTCAGTAGTCACACATGTAGGTGTCTACAAAAAAGAAGTTTATTGGGGTCATGGTTCTGGAGGCTGGGAAGTCCAAGAAGCATGGCGCTGGCCTCTGCTCGGCTCCTGGTGAGGGCCTCGTGCTAGGGAAGAAGATCCCAGCTTGGGGCGTCTTGTTCTGGGGTCATCCAGTTGGTCTGGATAAGATGCTTGCAGACGCCAATGACGCACCTGTGCCCGTAGCCATAGACAACCACCAAGAAAAACTGCCCCACTGTAGCTGTTCCCTGGCAACTTGCCAAATGTTCCCGAACTGGAGCCCAGAGAAAGGCCCCTCCTGACCTGCCAGGTTCTACCCAGGGTCCCAAAGGGGCTAAGTACGTTCTCTGATTTTTCCTGGCCCCCTAGCCTCAGTCCACAAGCACAGCCATAATGCTGGCTGCAAAAGTGCTTTTTCTTTCCTGCCACTGCCCCTGAAATGAGAAAGGGCTCGCTCTTTCCACCTCACCGATCCCCGGCCTGAGCAGGCTTTGGCTAACTCCCCTGAGCAGTAAGGGCCCTGGTCCACACTGCCCTTCTTCCAAGTCTTGAACCCTTGGGGTCTCTGAAGCTGATCCACCAAAGGCCCCTGTTGGGTGCTGCATCCCTCCCAGGGACAGGAGTCCATCCTGTCCCATGGAGCTGCCCACAGCCCTTTCTTCTCCCTCCTGGGAGAGAAGGGGAAAGAGAGCCCATCCCACCCTTCAGGTCGTTCCTCTGAGCAGAGCCATGTGGTGCCACACAATTTTATTCACTGTTTCCCCTGAGAAAAAGCCACTTCCTTGCTTCCTTCTTCTTTTTATGGTTAATGGAAAGTCTTCCCAATGGTAACAGCTGAGAGGCTGGAAGAAGAGCGGACACCTACACTCAGGGCCCTGAATCCGCAATAACTGGGGGCTCACCAACATCAAGCTGCATCTCTTCCTCCCGCAGATTCCATCGTCATTGCCTTCTGGGTGAGCCTGGCTGCCTTCGTGGTGCTCCTCTTCCTCATCTTGCTCTACATGTCCTGGTCGGGCTCCCCGCAGATGAGGTAAGAAGGCGTGTGGGTACGTGGGTGACTCCGATGCCAAATGGTGAGTATTGGTACAGGCAGACAATCCCCTATCCACAATGCTCGGGACCAGAAGTGCTTCCGACTTCAGATTTTGGAATATTGGCATTATCCTTGCCAGCTGAACATCCCAAATCCCAAATCTGAACTCTGACAGTGAGCATTTCCCTTGAGTGTGATGTCAGTATTGAAAAAGTTCTAGATTTTGGAGCATTTCAGATGTTTGGATTTGGGATGCTCAGCCTGGACACCCATGCAATGCAACAGCACCCAGCGATAAAAAGGAAGGAAGTCCTGGTTCACGCCACAGCACAGGTGGACCTGGACAGCATTGTGCTAAGGGAAAGGAGCCAGACACAAAGGCCACATGTTGTACCATCCCGTTCACATGAAATGTCCAGAATGGGCAAATCCAGACAGACAGAAAGCAGATTAGGGGCTGCCTGCGGCTGGGGGGAGGACAGGGGCAGGGGCAGGTGACTGCTATGGATTTCTTTTGGGGATGACAAAAATGTTCCAAAATTAGATTTATGGTGCTGGTCGCACAACTCTGTGAATGTACTGAATTGTATCATTTAAGCGAGTGAACTTTATGGTATGTAAAATATATCTCAATGAAGCTGCTACAGAACGTGAAGCCAAATCTTGCCAGCCACAGCTCACCAGGCAAACGGTACCCTAACTCAGGCATCCAGGCCTGCCGTCTGTCGCTGAGTACCTGCTGTGCACTGCAGTGGTTAAATGGAGGGGAAATCCAGGAGCTCCAAGTAGTAACTGGGACCTGGCTTGTACGTTAGTTCCCCTGTGCTGAACACTTAGCTGCCACGTCCCATTTTCCCTTCTAGGTCAATCAGCCCCCACAGCTGCTGCTGTCCTCCTGACTGTTCCTACAAGGGACCCTATATCCTGCCATAGCTGACCGGACCAATGGTGGGCAACTGACCCAAAGAGGTTCCATACTCCAGAGACTGGCCAAAGCCGTGTGTCCTGGCAGAAGAGCTGGGGCCGGGTTCCTGTCTTTGGAATTTGGATTCGGGAACCTGAGAGATGGACCAGGCGGTTACGGGGCCTGTGCTGAGTGGTCCAGGAGGAGGACTAGGGCTGGTGCCACTATGGACCTTCATGTCCCTGTGCACAGAAGTTTTGGGCAGTGGAAACCACGAGTAACATAGGAAGCTAGTCAGAGAGAGATGAGCAGAGCTGCTCTACAGAGGAAGAGGTGAGGGGCCTTGGAGGCCCTGAGAGAACCAGAGGGCAGGCTCTATAGCTGATGGGGTCCCCCCCCAGTTCCTGTGAGGAACCTGGGAATTCATGCAATTTCTGGGTGACTTAGTCCATTTAGTGTTGCTGTGACAGAAATCCTGAGACTGGGTAATTTACAAAAAAGAGGTTTATTTGTGTCACAGTTCTAGAGGCCGGGAAGTCCAAGAAGCATGGCGCTGGCCTCTCTGCTCGGCTCCTGGTGAGGGCCTCGTGCTGAGGGAAGAATTTATTCGATCCCGTTAGGGGCCCCACCTCCCGACACCACTACACTGGGGACTGAGCCTGCACCTGGGTTTTGGTGGGGACAAACCGTGTCAACCACAGCACAGAGCTACCTCGGAGCAGCCTCTGACCCTTCCCCAGGAGTCTCGCCCACCGGGGCTGCACACGCCAGGCCGTTTCTGCTTACCTTTGGCCACACATGGGAGGCAGCTTTGGAACAATGAAGAAATCCGTTCTGTTCATTTTTAGAACTCACATTGGATTTAAGCAGGTTTTAAGCCCCCTCCCCCCAGACCCCTGAGAGATAAACGAATGAATTCATCTTTCTTTGCCACTTTTCTGAGGTGCAGTCCCGTGTCAGGGACAGTTTGCAAGGGTTGTCAGTAACCCTCCCAGTGGAAAGTTCCTCTGTCTCGTGGGCACTTGGGGGCTGCCTCTACCAAGCCCGGCTCCAGTGGCCGGCACAGGCCTCCTGGGCTACAATTTCAAAGGGGCAAATTGATGATGCTGTTCGTCCCGACCAGCGGCTGGGCTCACTAAAGGAAATGCTCTCCAGGAACTCTGCAACAGATGCGGAATGCTTCCAGCAGCAAAGCAGATCCTTAGCGAGATTTAGGGAAGAGAGTCCTCCGTGAGGAGTTGATCTCTGAGGAAGGCAGGCATGGAGGGGCATGTCCTAGGCTAGCACCAGGAAGGAGGAAGGAAGGGCCTCTGCCCCAGCGGGTCCTTCCTGGTGCTCTTCATTCACGCGAGCGTCGTGACCACGTGCAAGCTTGTTTTCTAGCTTGGACAGCCATCAATACATTACCTCATTTCATCCTGATGACACCTAGGAGATTACTGTCCCATTTTATGGATGACACCAAGAGCAGGCGGGAAGTGGTGGCCGGGGCTCACGTCAGGGAGCCACGTCCCCTGCCCCAGCACCTCCCAGGGGCGAGAATCCATCCAGTAAGGATACATTTCTAGTCAAGATACAAGTTGGCTTGGGGGCCGGCTATGAAAAGAGCTATATTCAGATACGGGAGTGGAGGGAGGTCAAACCTGTCCCAATTGTAAATGAACGTAAGAGGAAGTAACCCCGACGAAAAGACTCTAGGACTTGTTCCCGACAAAGTATTTCCTCCCTCGTGAGCTCTCTCTGCAATGGCCACCTTTGTGAGGCCCTCCTGAGGGTGGCTCCCGTGGCCTCCCTGTGGGCTCCGGGCAGGTAGGAAGGTGTGGCAGGAAAGCGCCCAGTGCGGACCCTTCTCCAGCCAGCTCCTCTGACGCCTGCCTCTCTCTGCTCTGTCCACAGGAACAGCACCCAGCACCCCCAAACGTGCCCCTGGAGTCACAGCCTCCACCTGCCCCTCTGCATCCAGAGGCACCTGCAACGCCACAGGGCCCCCCCAGGGGACCTCACAGGCTGCACCCAGCTCGGGAGCAGACCCAGGGAGCAGAGCTGGCCCTGACCAGTGGCTGCGGCAGGAGAGCCCCTCAGCCTCACCCCCCAGGCCAAAGCCACTCTCCTCTGGGAGCTGGCCCTCGATGGGGGCCCCAAGGCATCAGCTGACGTCAGGAACAAGCCCCAGGAGCCCCCCCCGGAGACAAAACCTCGCAGTTGCAGAACTGACACCAGTAGACCACGGCCACAGCTGAGCGAACTGGTGAAATCAAACCAACCCGGACACACACAGTCTTTCTAGAGGCTGTTTGCACGTAGCAGAAGTGTGACCACAGGAGGTGCACCATGTGCAAAGGCGTGCAAATGGCCCTTGGAGCACAGAAGGGTTGCCCCAGGTACTAATTTTATTTAGCACACTTAAGCTGCTTCCTTATGGCTTACGTTCGCTTTGGGAAGGACAGGAAAATAAATATATATGAATTAAGAGAAAAAAATACTCGCTTACTAATCTTTACTATGCCACTTGCCTAGTCCTTCTGTAACGTTTCCTCCAGCCCCAAGTTCACCTGGTCCATCTGTAGCTTTGTTGAGACATAGGGGAAGCCTACAGGGTCCCCATCCATCTTCCACTGACGCTCCTGCTCGCCCAGATGTGCTGGTGTCTGCCCTGCCGGGTCAGGGGACCTGAGTCACACTCCTCACCTCCCTGCAGCCTTTCAAAGACAGAGCCCACGAAGCGTCTCCCCTGGAGGGAGGGCAGCCAGGGCCCACGCCCAAATGCTCTCAGAGAACGCGAGGAACTCTTGAAGCTGGCAGGAAGGGTCCCATTTGGGATGTGATTTTATGTGACTGCAGATCTGAGATGCTTGAAGGATCTAGTGCTCCAGTCCCCAGCAGCCCTGTCCCAGGGGAAGGAGACAGCATCACACTACAAAGCCCCGAAAACCCACAGGCACCACCCAGGGCAGTGACTTAGAAGGAAAGATGCGGGAAGGCAGGACCAATGAGCTCCAGAGACAGTGAAAATGTGTCCTCACTCTACTCAGCTGAAAGCCAGCTCTGGAGCACTTGCCGCCACCCAGCGCAGCACGTGTTTGACTTGTTTCTGTCAGGCACCACCCACTGGAAGGCAGCTCCCCGCAGAAAGAGAGGAGGGGACAGTTACTCCAGGGTTGGCGCTTGGACATACAGGGAAGGCAGGCAGGACCAGGGAGCTCCAGTGGCAACTCCCCCTTCCGAAGGGCTCACGATAGGGGAGGCCAGGGTGTCGCCATGTCACCTGGTATGAGCCCACCCCAGCCATGCAGGGGACAAATCCCGCCCAGTCGTTCGGACCTAGGAACCTAGGAGGCAGTTGAGGCCTGGAGTCTGGGACGGAGTTGTGGAAACCCACCCCACTCTCCACCCCTCCCTGCGCTCCCAGAGGACTGAAGTTCGGGGTCTTCCCCAGACCACTCACCTTCCAGCCAAAGCCCCTCAGCATGCGTGAGCAGAGCTGCCTACAACCAGAGGACTCTCCACACACAGGCTGCAGAAAGGAAAGGTAACAGGGAACCAGGAAGAGAAGAGAAAGGAAAACGCGGCCTTTACTGGAACAGTGCTTGTGTGAGTGCATCTTGAATCTAAATGCAGGATTTCAACTTCAGCATCGTCTCAAGGAATACTGCTGGGAGGTTTTTGGTGGGGGCAGGGAAGGGGACCGAGGAGGTAAGTGATCCTTGCTTTTTAGACAATGAGCCCTATTTGTGGGAAGGGACTGCATGCAAACAAGCATCACTCTTGCCTTGGTTAAAATCTCAAGTCACCTAAACACAGAAAAAATTCTAAAGAATACTGGTGGTATACAAAGGGGAAATGTTTAAGATGAAACCAAGCCATTTCTAGCACTATGCATATCATATGGCAAATAAAACAGCCACCTTCTAGGTGACAGAGCAGACCCCAGGAGCCCAGTGTGTGCAGGAGGGTTTTAAACAGACAAGAATTTTACCTGTGAAAACTGTGAAATTTTTTTTTTCATAGACTTTTTTTCCAGCTGTAATACACGAACCTTAAAAGTCAAATTCTGACCTATAAAATGCAGGCCTCTGTAGAATAAAAATAGCCTATTAACCTCAATTAGAGCAAAACACAAAAACCTTACAAAAATAGACATTTATTAATAAGAAGTTATAAAATTCAAAATCCCCTTCTTGAAACATAATTTTAAAAAATACAGGGTTGTCTTTGCAAAGCAGAAGTGTAATCATTTTTACACTTTAAGGATTTAGTGTAACATTCCTTTATTTAATAAAATAACAAACACTGGCAGGAACTAATTTATTCAAAAAGTCACACTAAGCTTTGTTACAACTTTTTAGAAAAAAAACTTACACATCTCTCTGTGCTCATCAAAACATATCAGACATACTGTTTGACATTTTAGCTTTACCGTCCACGAATCCCGTCTGCACTCAGAAGGACTGTACCGCCTCAACTTGAGACACTTCTTTGAAGAACAAGAGAGGGAGGCTCTCACCTAACCTGCCGGAAGTGCCCCCCTCATCGCGGCTCTGTGCTGTACACAGTCCCCTGAATTTATCATTCACTGGTTGGTTAAACAAAGTCTTCTCAACGCTTCCTGTCAGAGAACGGAGGCCGTGTACTGAACCTGTCATTTCACACACCTTCCCCAGAAACCCCTGACCACACCAGACTTCCAGCAGCTGGTGCTCCAGGCGCTGGTCACCAGGCTGAGTCCGCAGCCAGCAGGGAGCTACGCGTCCGAGGCTGCGGCAGCGAGGTCCCTGCAGAGCACAGCGATGGCCTCCTGCCCACCGCCGGGCACATCCTCCGCAGCGTCGCAGACCATTCGCACGTGGGCCAGGAGGGTGTCTGGCCGCTGGGCCCCCAGCCAGACGTCCTTCACGTACAGAGACACCAGGAAGGCCGCAGAGGCTGAGGGAGAGTGAGAAACAGGCCATCAGGACGCAACCTCCTCAGCGGAAAGCAAGTCACCCGCCCTCGACGCAGGGGCTCTGCCACCCACCCAGATGAACTGTGTCACATGTCTGCTAATCGAATAATTAACTTTGGCCTTGCTTAACTTTCGCATTAATCTTTTTTGTTCACTTTGTAATTTATCATTCTTCTGATGAACGTATGTGGATCCCCTAAAAAAAGCTGCAATGAGACAAGTCTCTTCCTGGTTCTAACCACCCATGCCAAGAACCAGAACTGAACTTTGAGAAGAACCTTCCGGAATCATTTCATATCATTTCCTCAGTGGTAGGGGTGAGGAGGAAAAGAGAAAGTTTCACAAGCAGAAAGACTCAGTTCTCAGACTTCAGCCAGATGAGAGAAAGTGGTCACCGCTGCCACCAGGTGGGTTCAACTGCCAGGCTGCTGGCCCCTCCCCTGTACCCCTGGGCGAAAGGAACAGCCCTCCTGGGTGAAGGAGGCCACACCCGCCTCTCTCGAACTCTCTTACAGCCATCTAAAGCCAGAGCTGTTCGTTTATTCATTCGCTCCCTCCCGCATTCAAACCTCCAGGCTCCTGCCCTACGCCAGGTCCACGGAGGGTACGTGTGTGCATTTGAGCACGTGTGCAGACGCACGTCTGTATGCGAGTGCTTGTGTGCAGACACACAGACACCTCTGGGTGTGGTGCAAAACCGATTTCTTCATTTCAGTAATGGTCAGAAAACCTGCTGCTCTGCAGGGGGAGCAGCACTGGCGGGACACTGAGGTTGTGAGGGGGGCCTTTCTCCACTGCCAACACGACAGGCGCTACCGGTTTCCCCTGAGAGCCAAGGCGGAGACTTCCCTCCCTTCACGTTCAGAGCCAAACAGCAAACTCCTGGCAACTCCCAGAACTGTGGCAAGGGGCCACCTAAATACTTAAAGTCCCACGCTGAGGAAGTTTCTGGCAGAAACCTGACAGGCTCTAAGAACAGAAGCGACTCCACCCCCAAGCCCACTCACGCATTTCTTCAGCCTCTGACCGAAGAACCAGCCTTACCTCGCGTGGCTCCCTCCTTCTCGCTCAGAGAGGAGAGGGAGAGGGCCTCCACCGCGGGGTGGAAGGGGCTCCCCGCCCGGCCCTGGGCGGCCACCAGCTGCAGCATGACCGCGTTGAACAGGCAGGCCACATCCTGCGCAGGCCCCGCCAGCCCCTCAGCACCACAGAGCCGGCTATACAGCCTGAATATGCTGCTCCTCACGGCGCTGTCCCTGAGAAGGTCAGCCACGACCACCCGGTGTGGCAAAATGTGGCTCTTAAGCCAGCCGAGGAGTCCTGCAGCCTCTGCCCTGCTGAGCGGGTGGTCGGCCACAGACTGCAGCACCCAGCTGACCGCCAGGGAAGCGGCGGTGTCCATAGCACCTGGTGCCTCACTCTCGGGGCTGGCCCAGTCTGCGAGGTCCTGAGCAGGTTCAGGGTTGGGGATCGCCGGCCCCCAGTGAGTCAGTATGGACCTCAGGAGGCCCTTGCACGTCTCCAAGCTGGACGCCTGCAGCCCAGGGTCGGCCGTTTCCTCTGCCTCCCGAGGCCTCCTCTTTCGGCCCCGTGGGCCTTTGGCTCGGGCTGTCATGACAGGCTTGTTCTTATCCTTTAGCATTTCTGTTAAATGCAGAGAAGAAAGGCAGTGACACTGGTGTCCTTCCTGCCCGCACAGATCCAGAGTTGCTGGGGGAGGGGGCTGCATGTGTGGATGGGGGACACACAGGAGGGAGGGAGGGGCAGCTGACCTACCCTGAGCACTTGGCACTGCTCCCGCACTTGGAGCGTGGCAAGTGCACGATATTTCACTGGGACTGTCACCATTGTTATTATAATGAGCTCATCAATCCTCACAACACGGGCAGGAGCCATCATCATCCTTCTTTACAAACGAGGGATCAGAGCTCAAATCCAGGAGGCCTGGCACCGGTCTGTTCTTTTGACCCTATGTTATATGGCAAGGTGGGGACATGTAACTCTCGGCCATTCCCTGCCCCCTTTCCAGGTGAGCACCCTGATACTCAGGCGGGTTAAGTGATTCATCCAAAGAAAAAGAGCGGCTAAGCAGCACAGGCTCCCTAACCCCTTCCCTGGAGCTCGAACGCAGAGGTGTCCCATCTCCAAGCCTCGGCAGCTTTGGAAATGCTGCTCAGAGAGGAGGCAGCCACATACTGGCCGCTCCGGTTGGACCTGGAGCACAGTTTGGGGACAGTCACGGGCTCTCACACTCACTCGTCAGCTCCCTGACTTGGCACTTCTCAATGGCTGCTCTCAGCTCTTCTTGAAGCTTGATGTCTCTTTCAATGAGGCTCCACTTGTGCAAGAGGACAAGGACGTCCTTGGTGGAGAGCACCGTCTCATTCACGGTGAATCGGTTCATGTCCTTGAAGGCCTGTATGACGGTAGCCCTGTACCTCAGCACTGAGTCAAGAGTCCCGAAGAAGGCGATCAGCTGGGTGGAGGCCAAGGCGGGCCTGTTCGGGAACCAATGTTATAGACTGAGCAAAAGCTGTCTCCGGTCCTGGTGGCCCAGACGGGGGCGGCCGGTCAACACTGTATACCCAGAGGCACAAACAGGCCATCCGGGAACCAGGTTCCCTTTACAACAGACATCTAGTGTGGGCCCCCGGGACACAGAACAGAAAAAAGTGAGCCACTCCAGGGAGGCAGAAAGGGGAACCCGGAGTCTGACCTCTACCCTGAAGGCAACTAAACCTTGGCTAACTAAACCAGGTAGCCAAGCAGAGAAAGCCTGAGGGTCAGGGGTGCCAAGAGCCCAGCAAATTCCACCCCAGGACTGCTGATTTCTCTCTGTTTCATGCACTATCGGCCTCACATGAAAAAGGCCCTGGGACAGCATCGCCACTCACGGCTGCAAACCGGAGTGATGGTCACTAGCCGGAAGATCTCTCTGAACTCCAGGAAATTTTAAATCCTATAATGTATGTTCCACACAATTTTAAAAGTAAAATCATTATTTCAAATCAGTTCATAGACACCAACGTGTCTTCTGACAACCCCAAAATAAGAAACATGACTATCCAGCATTGACTTAATTTAATTTAGAACTCTATAATACAAAATGCCCTGTTCTTTATGAAGAGATTTTTCACTTTGAGATCACAATCCATTTGCTATCATCACTCTTCTGGTTCCAGTTAGCATACTCCAGCTCCCAAATCAGAAATACTGAGTGCACACAGTGTATTTTCTGTAACATGGTGGAATGTGAGAAAAATTTAGCTCTTCTGAGGAAACCAAAAGTATAATTAAAAGGCATCAGAGAAAATACTGAAATATTCCAGAAAATTCATGGACAAGTAAATGAGTCTTTGCAGGCTAATAAAGGCAAAAAGGCAAGTTTGGGAACACCCTGTCTTAGGTTAGGGTCATGGAAAGTATGTTCTTCCCACAAAACATCACTTTATTCACGTGTCTGAATCTAAACATGAAGGTAGATGGCTCACCTGCTAAAAATGACCCAGTATGACACATTCTAGGTTTCTGAAAGTACGGTAAATACTCAGGGCCTTGACAAGAAGCCTTTTAAAGTTGAAGGCAAAGAAGGAAGGAGCTAAATAGATGTTCTGATGCTACCTACACCTGACACTGGCACTCTGCCCCAAGCCACACCAGGCCACCGTCCTGAGCACACCTGGCACACCTGTGAAGTCGTGACTGAGACGTGGTGTCCACAGGTGACAGACCAACGCAGCACCAAACAGGCACACTAAGGGGTCACCCTGGTGGGGGGAGGGCTCACCTCAGGTGCTTCATGAGTATGACAAGAACATAAAGGAACTCATTGACCAGGTGCAGGGCGAGCAGCTTGGGGGGCTCCCGGGGACCGGGCTGGCCGGGAGGCTGGCTCTCCCACTCCACTCCTCTGTCCCCCAGGTTGGTCACCCACAGTGCATGCAGCAAGGAGATCACGTTGGACAGCAGCGGAGTCTCTAGAAACCTGAAACCAAACACGGCAGCTTTCAATCTTGGCCACAACCTCGCCTTTCAACGAGATCAGACTGTCGGAGGTAGAGTGGGTGGGAACCTCAGAACAGAGTAGGACAGTAGTGAGGGTACTGAGCGGTGGCCTGGCACGCCCCTCCCCCGGCAACAAAAGGGTGCCTGCTGTGCAAATGCAGCTTCGATATAGGACAAGGGCCCACGCTCCTTTCTAGCCAGAAGACTGCCCTAAGTCCCTCCGGAAATTCTGCAGCCACTGCAGTACACTCATAAACGCTGTCCTGCTCCTGTCAACAACTCAATTTCTAAAACGAAATTACTGGCTAAGAAGAGATAATTAGCCAATTATGCAATTTATAAATCTTAAACAGTCTTGAAGTTGATGTCCAAAGACACAACTTAATTCTTAATTTTAGACGTAGGATATTACTTTTTGTTGTTGTTTGCAGCTGTGTTTGGATATATTACTTTCTTTAAGAGAAATTTTAGAAAATACTTTTTAAACATGCACAAAAGGGCTTGCATACTCCCCAGCTTACTACAGCATTGAGTTCTTGGCAAGACAGTCCTCCCACCAAGTGCTGTCTGCTGTGACACGGCCTTCATCTTTCCAGACAGCCTCGAACCCAGGAGGAGATGATCAGGAATCACAATAAATCATCACCCCCAGCCCCTCATCGCGGTTCCCGCACCGGCTCCTCCCTGAGCACCCAGACTACGTACGGACAGCGGAACCCTGCAACTCACAGTCACACTGGGGACTGCGTCACACTGGGGACTTCTACGTGCCTTCCTGAAATCGGAGGCTTCTGCTTTCTACCTCAAGCAGAGGCTGCAGTCATTAAAGCCTCAGATAACAGGACGCTATTTCAGACCACATACTGCTGGCCAGCACGCCAGGGGAGTTTGAAGGGCACGTAACAGAGCCACAACGGCTGGTGGAGCCTCTGCCAAATGGGAACAGCAGCTGGTGTCTGTCCTTCCATGGCAGACAAGAGACACTCAAAAAAAAGGGATTTATGTGAAGGAAAAACCATTTTGGCATTACCAGGAGCCGTTTTTACCAGGCATATGGTGGCATTCGAGGACACTGTGTTTCAGAGTACATGGATTTTACTGGACATTTCCAACTGACAGTGACGATGATCGCCGGCTCCGTTCCACTCTCTTCCCGTCTGACACATACCTCACGCAAAAGGTACTTACTTGCTCTCAAGGATGTGTAAGATCCACGTTAAAAGGCTATAGTCCCGTATGATTTCATAGGCAGATTTGGCAACCTGGGCAGCATTCTGTAGAATTTCCAGAATACAATTCTAAAAACCCAAAACAAAATATTACCCTTCAGTGGGAAAACTTTACTTACTTGATCAAAGAAACAATTTTTAAAATGTAATGGTACGCTATAATTACAGGTGCCTGCTGCAGATGAAGTTTGCTTTAATAAGTCCGTCAGAGTGGTGGCCATGCAGGAACCTTTCCCCACAGGTGACAGCCAGAGGACACAGACTCCTACAGCAATCACAGCCCCGGGGGGAATGCCCACTTCTGCAAATCCATTATGTGGAACCACCCACAAGCAAAGATACGCCATGGAAACCAAGCAGCCCAGACACGCAGCAGCCTGAGCCGGAAGAAGATGTGGGCGGTCCACTTTGTCCCCCAGGTTTTACCACCTGGAAAGGAGGACACAGAACGGGACTGCCTCCTGAACCGTTTGCAGGCTGCTTCAGAATTGTCACACGTTATGAGGAACAGAAAGCTACCGTAGTACTGCAATTCGGTTTATTCAACCGTGTTTCTAAAGCCTGACTCGCTCCCACTTACCCACATTTTACATAATATCAGACGTATGAGCTGACCAGGCTAGAAATTAATCAAAATACCAAAAGCTTTTCCTATTTACTTCTTCCAACTACCTGTGGTATCTAGAAAACACAGGGATCAGCTCACGGTTCTAGGGGACGGAGCGAGTGCACAGGCTCCCCGATTAGCTCAGGGAGACGGTCCGTTCCACCCTGACTCCTGCTTCCCAGCCAAGCTTTGGTGACTCGCAGCTTCTGGACAGTACGTGAAATCTTGGTGGCTCAAGAGCTCCTCAGACAAAGTCCCTCCATCACTCACGGGGAGAATCTGTTTCTAGACTTCTTGGCCAGCTCCTAGGACTCATGATTACTGCTGATCAGTCCCTCTCTCTCGATGGCAAAATAAAGAGGCCTTCGTACCAGCCAAGGACACAGTAGGAGGGCCACAGTGAAAAGCATTTCATCAGAGGACAAATGACACTGGGAGTTACAACACTGCGGCCTCGGAAGAATCGCACCGCAGGCAGGCGACGGGAAGAGCGTTTGCAGTACCTTGTTTTCCCTCATTGAAAGCGGGGTTTGGGTCTGTGGTGTCCAGGCTGGGAACAGAATTCCCACGGACTTGGCTTCTAAATGAAACCCTGAGGAAGAGCACAGACCTTTCAGAGGCAAATAACCTTGCAGAACCCACATACCTGCGCCCCTTCGTCACACAAAGGGCTGTGGAAGAAGGACAGGATGATGTGAAAAACGCCACGCCGCGTGTACAGCTCGTAGCAGTGCTTGTCACGGATCCCCTGCCGCAGAACGCCAAGCACCCACTCCTGCTCCGTCTTTTGCTATAGCCCGGGCAAACAAGAAACCGTTGTTAAACAAGTGAAAGCCTCCTTATGTGACAATTCCTCAGACACCTCTATTTTCACATGGTGGCAAAGATGGTACTGCAGCAGCCTTGACCTCCCTCTGATCACGTTATTAAGCATCCTTAATTTCATCTTTGATTCCATTTCTTCAGGAATAAAGGACCAAGTCAAGTTTAAACATCCAGCTTAAGTCAGGTAGGTGTTTTGTAAAAGAATACTTAATATTTAACCCAGTGATTCACCAAGAACCATAAAACTCAAGACTCTAAAGCAGAGTTTTTAAGGTTTGAGAAGCTACATAAAAATTAACTCATGGAACGAAGACATTCCTACGCGCCAGCCCGCGTGAGCTGTTAGTTTTGTGACCTTCTTGCTCTCGCGCTGCTTATGCAATCGTGTTGGCTGTGCAGCAAACAGTATTGATGGGGAAAATGTCAGAATGACAACAGTGGCTGGATAACTCGATCCAGGAGTCTCTGGGGACCTAGAGGACTCTGGAAGCATTACCTCGAAGTCGGAGCTGTAGAAGAACTGGTAGAAGCCCGGCACTTTGTCCATATGCAAATACTCATGTGATAGCAGGAACTTGCTGATCTTCAAGTACATGTGCTCCTCTGAGAACACAGGCAGACAGTCACTCACAACAGGCACCAGCAGGACACCCCATGGTCTGGCAGAATCAGGGGTAGGTATTTTGGGAACAAAAGCTCCACAGGCCCTGTTCCTACGGAGCTTTAGATTACTAGTTCTTGAGAACGAGGGTACAATTAGACACTTCAATTCTACACTGAACACGGGCTTCCTCTCCTGGCTCAGAAACCACTGCTGGGGGTGGAGCCCTTCACAGACCTCGCCCTGTCCCCAGTTACCGTCCTACTGCACAAGCTCAAATCAGCGGGAGGGCAGAGTGGGACTGGGCCACACACATGACAGATCAGGGCTGATACCACACCCACCAGCCCCACCTGCCTCCAGCCTCCCACCGAAAGGAACTGTCACAGCACGGGAGGCTCAGACACCTACTGGGTCCCTAGGCTCCAGAATGCAACAAGGCAGGAGGACAGACACCCCTCCTGCCACTTCCCACCCTTGGATCACGGGTTCCAGTCTGTCCAGACCAGTGGCAGCCTCTGAGTCCACCTGTGACCACTGCTGTCCTCCCCACATGAGCAGGGACAGAGCTGCACACGGGACCAAAAACATCACGGTCTCTGCTAATTCTTTTCTTTCCTCCCCAAATTTACAAGGCAAGGAAAAAAATGAAATGGGAACAGATGAAAATCAGATCTGAATTCTAATAGCAACCAATTACAAACTAAGTATGGGGCCTTGGCTTGGGGCCTCAGTCGGGGCGGTGTGCAGGGGCATGCAGTTGGGGGGCTGTTTCCTCATCTGAAATGTGACCACATTCCACTGAAAGAACCTTGTGGGCCCTGATGATACAACATTCTACAATTTTTCTCTCGATAACCTAAAAATCAGCCTACGAAGAACTAACTTCTCCTGGTCACGCTACCTTAGCAGTGGGACCCGTGTTCTCATGAGTAACAGAAAGGGGCCGTGTTCCATTGCCTTGGGTTACACGTGCACGGCACTCACAGGCCAAAGGTTTTCTAGCCTAAGCACGAATCAACGATTAATAACTGCAGTGCTGGCGGTGGCAGCTAACACCAGTGGGCACAGAGCACGATCCGTGTCACCCTCATGGCAGTCCTCGAAGCAGGGGGTGCTATTATCACCCGCATCATACAGAGAAGAAACTGAGGCAGAGAGAGGTCCAGGACACTCTGACTTGAGTCTGCGCTTTCAGTCCTGGGGTTACTGTTCCTACGCTGTGATCAGCCCAGGTTCTTATTTCAGTTTTATCTGCTTTTACCACAGTTTTATACAACTACAAGCAGAGATGATTATGCGTCCTTTCCCCTGAGAACACACTGTTCTGCACCTTGCCTTCTCATTTAACTTTTTCTGATTTCATCCCTCAGGGGTCCACACAGAGCTTCCTCACACCCATTGTTTAGTTACTGTCCATTATCGATGGGCATTTACGTGGCTGCAAACCTTCGCCACTATGAAAATTGAGTGACCCTGAACATGTCATTTCTCACAGATGTGTGATCGACTGTATCTGTGGGATTAATTCCTAGGAGTGGACTTGCTCAGCCTCAGTTTTTCAGTTTCTCTTCAACCCAACTCTATCAGTGGTACCTGGTTTCAAAATCTGCAAGGCTGCTTTGGCAATGAAGAGAGCCAAGGTAAAAGTGAGTCTCATGTTCTGAGTTCGAATCCCATTCCGGACTACATCCAACAGGTAAAGGAGCTTAAAAACAGAAAAGAAAAAACAAGACGAGCATCGTCAGAACTGTGGCTGGTCTTGCCTTGTGCAGCTGAACCACACCTGCTCCTCACAGCCCAGGGGCCACCAGAGACGAAGCTCACAGTAGCAGATGCTCTGCTTGCCACCATCTCAGGAACACCTCTGGTTTTCCTTTTCGGAGTCAGGCATGTGCTCAACAGCAGAGAGGAACCTGGCACCACGCCCTGAAAATCCAATCGCTCCTGTCTCTCTACCACCAGGGTGTGCAGGTTTCTGAGGCTCAGTGTGCTGTGGGTAATAGCTACCTTAGCAACTGCATTTAGACCACAGCAGTGTTCAACAGAAGTCAAACCATTTTGTCTACCCGCAGCACAAGCAGAGTCTGTAGGGAGAAACCTTTCTCAACCACTCCAGAAGGCTGAGGATCAAAGACAACCTCTTATATCACCTCCTGAAGAGAACAGACTTTGGCTCTTTGGCAGGTCTCCTGGTTTCCACCAAACCGGGTGGACAGCCAGTTCTCTGAAGCCGCCAGGCCTACCCTCAGCCCCGGAGGGTGTCCCCTCTTCCTACTTACCTGAGACTGCTCTCGGAACCGTGCCCCCTCCAGGTGTGAGTAGTAGGCCGCCAGGACACAGTAGGCCGCGGCACGCATCTGGGGGTCATAGCTGCTGAGGGCTGCGACAGTCAGGCCCAGAGCATTGGAATCCAAAAATTTCCGACAATCCACCACAAATTCTACAGGAAACAAAACACAGCATTAAACACACACAATGTGATTTCATGATTCTTGTGCAACGTGGGGAATTAAATTTCCTTTTGCATCTCACCAATATCAGCTACTTGTGCTAGCTACAAGGAAGGCAAGATTTTCTTGGCTCCCCCTAATTTCTGCTGAAGTTAGACAAAAGACTCTCTTCCTTTCTGTGGCAATAATTACCGTGCCTTCAGTTTCTAAAATGTCTGTATATCCCAACCGGGACAATCTCATTACTTCTCATAAACACCCAACGAGCCAGAGGAGAGCGAGGTGACACTGCTGAGATGCCAGAGGCCTGGGGAACACGACTGGGGAATCAGCAGAGAAAATTGGCCCCCAGTTTCCACCTTGTTCAGCCCACTGCCCGAGGTTCGTGTCTACAAACACCTCTGAGGAAAACACATAAGGCAGTGAGAGCGGGGAAATTCAGCCGGCACAGACCAGCACGACAAAGGATTCACTTCCATCCACTCTGCAACCCTAGTTCTTTCTTCAAACAAATAAGAAAAATCTCGGGGAGGAGTGGCCCACCAAGCTTAAGCAAAAGCCACAGTAAAAAGTGGCCGATGTCCACCTGCCGCCTGTGAGGCCTTGAGAAGCTCTCAGTCACTCCAGGAAAGGACGAGGCTGAGAGAGAAGAGGCCAGACACACATGGGGACCTGCCTTACCACAACCTTTGGGACACTGCGACTGCTCTATAATAAAAACCCAGGCCTTCTTACAAGGTAAATACTGTCAAGAAGAAAATCAGAATAGATAGGTCACCTTGTTCAAAACTGACTAAACCAGTCATGATAATTACCCACAATGATGTTCTTCAGACTGAGTTACCAGTGACCTAATTAAATTAGGAACCAAGCACAAGCCAACTGAGATGACTATGCCAAACGAGTAATCTTGGAACACACTATTAATGAAACATACTCAATTGATAACATTTTTTAAAAGTTACAGGAAAGATTGAGCATGTTCAGTAGAGACACTGAAGACACAAAAACCCAAACCAAGTTTCTAGAGATGAAAACAAACTAAAACATCCGAGATGAAAACTGCACTGAATGAGATTATCAGATTAGACACTGCATAAGAAAAAGATTAGTGAACTTGATGACAGCAATCAAAATTACCCATAACGAAACGCAGAAAGAAAAAAATGATCAGAACCTCAGTGGGCTGTGGGACAATTTCAAACAGCTTAACATGTGTAATTAAGGTCCCAGAAAAAATCTGAAGAAATAATGACCAAAATTTTTCCAAATCTGACCAAGAAACTGTAAATTTACAGAGCCAAGAAATGCAATGAACCCCAATTATATGTAGCACAAAGAAAATCAGTGTTTGAGACCAGGGATTAAAAAAAAAAGCTTAAAAGTAGCCATATAACATAGGAATGATGGCAGATTTCTTGTTAGATACAATCCAATCCAGAAACCAGAAGGAATATCTTTAAAGTACTGTAAACAAAACAAAACAAAACAAAACCCTGTTAACCCTGAATTTTATAACCCCGTCAAAATCTTTCAAAAGTTAAGACTTTTTTCAGACATACAAAAGCTAAAAGAATTGGTCACCAGCAAATTTGAACTATTATAATATAAGAAACCTTATAGGAAGTGTATTTCAGGCAGAAGGACAATGGTACCAGATAGAAATCTGGATCTACACAAGCGAATGGAGAGCCAGAAACGGTAACTATGTGGCAAATATCAAATATTTATTATCTCTTTAAAAAATAATAACTTGAAGCAAAAATAACAACCTATTATGGGGTTTTTAGCATACTGAAGTGTGATGTATAATAAGAATAGCATGAAAGCCAGAAAAGGTAAAATGGATCTATACTTTGCACCTCACTGTTTTAAGGTTCTTATACTCTACATGAAGTGGTACCATCTCACTTGAGGGTAAAGTGCATTAAACTGCAGGTGTGTACTATAACCCTAAAGCAACCATCAAACACAAACGCACACATAAGTTGTAGCTAAAAGCCAATAAAAAAGATATTATAAAATGGAGTCAGACCATAATCACATTAAATATAAATGGTATACATACTCCAATTAAAAGGCAGAGATGGTTAGATTAAATAAAAAGCAGAACCTAAGTACATGCTATCTATAAGAAAACCACTTTTAATATCAAGATGTAGATTAAAAGTGAAAGGATGAAAAAATAATCAGATGACTCTTGGGCTCTAACAGCTTAGGAACACAAGTTTCTAATTTTCTCATTTTTAACAAGTGACTATTTTTGATGAGCGGGGGAAGAAACTCCAAAGCTTTAAAAACATCAAACTGTGGATAAAATTATATTGTTTTGGAAAAGATGAAATGTGTTTAAGAGACACCTACATACGTACATAACAAATAGACATAAATGGAATACACTTGGGCAACACAACAGTCTAAACATTTAATATTACACTCACTAAAAACAACCAGTATTCAGCTGGCTGGGATATTTTTAGTAATTACTGAGATATAAGACAAATAGATTTTCCAAGTGTCCATGAGGAAAAGTCAATTTCATGCTTTGTGGTCTCCCTGCTACTCTATGGAAGTCTTGGCTTTGTAACATTTATGGAAAAGAGGAGCCCTTGGGATGTGGAAAATATAATAGGCTATTTAAAGATAGTTATAAATGCCATTCTCTTTGTTTCAAGAACCTCACAAATAGCAATTTGGCTGTCCAATAACAGACCTTCAGATCAAAATGTCTTAACCTGGACAATTATGAAAGATTAAAACAAAGAGTGCCCCAGTTTGAGTGGGCTTTAGAAGCAGTGCAACTGTGCTGTTGGATCATCAGAAATCTTCCTTAAGCCTCTTCTTCCACAACATCCCCCAGAGGTGTACTGCTGGGTAAAGCTCATCACAGTGAGAAAAGTCCATGGGGCCTTTACTCTGGTCGTCTGGTGACGAGGCTCAGAGAACTGCAAATGGGCCCTCCTGTTCTGGCTGCTTTGTGGCATGTGTGAATTATGAGCTGCAGATTTCAGCCCAGTTCTGTTGAGGACAAGAGTTCACTGTGGAAAAAGCATTTGTCACTGCCACTGCTAACAGCCTTGGCTGGCCCAGTCTCCTGGCCAAGGACTCAAAGAAGGGAAGCAGTAAGGTTAAGAAAATAGGTTCCCATTTTCAGCAGGGTTGAAAATGGAGCAGTAAGACTAGTTACTGTGAAAACTGGCAGCCACACAGAAAAACTAATCGCGTGCCCAATTTAGGATTGCAAAAAGTTTAGCGATGCCTGGACCCAGGAAGTAAAAAAATACTGTGAGACCTTTTGCTACACTCAGTACAGCTAAATCTCATAGATGATACAGTGTGGGATAAATGGAGCTCAACAGAAAAAAATCACATCATGTATAAAATCATTTAACGTTCAAGCACAGGACCGTGGCCCCTTCTGGGGAGAAAGGGGCTTGAGGAGCTGCCAATTTGCTCTATTCCTTATCTGGCTAGTGGATTCACCAAACCTCAAACCATGCACATATAATTTATGTACTTTTCTGTGTGTCACACTTCAACTAACTTTAGTGGTAAGAATTTTCTTCTGCCAATGAACTGATGTTCTTCCTTTTGGTAGTCAATGAAATTTGTTTAAAAATCAGGCCTCCATCTTTTGCTCAGGAGGACAAGTAGCCCAGAGCAACATTTAATAAACCTACTTTTTGGGGGTGCTTTGGTTTTTTGGTATATCTATTTCCCTCTCCACCTCTAGGCTTTTTGAAATGTTCTGCTTCCATGTGAATTTTTAGTGTAGTCAGTATTTTAAGCTATTGCAAATCCTTTTCAAGATTAGGAGGGACATGCTCTATAAATTTTTCTACCTGATTATACCAATAAAACTTAAAATGGGATGTATTTGGAGATTTAAAGGTAAGAAAACTGGTGTCTAGTACGTTTCTCTAATTTGGAAGACCATGTACTAGTTACCACTCTTCACAAACGGCCTCCCAGACTCCGCCCCCCACCAAGAAAAAAAAGTACAGTATTCAAGATTTTGTGCAAAACACCAACTGCATTTTACTCTAAATATTTCCCAAGCCATTGCCTTCTGTCTACTAAAAGCTCTATTGCAAGACAGAAGAATAGACTAAGTGATTTGTTATAATTCACAAAAGTTACAACGTTCAGCAACCTCATGTGTTTAGGTTGTGGAAAATTTATTTTCATGTTTGATGAGAAGCTGACTTATCCAGCACCATCAAGGCACAGGGGGAAATCAGAAGTGCTTTCTGGCCACAGACGAGTAGAGAGATCTGTCTCAGTTAGCCTGCTGCTTAATCGTCACCAGGGCAATTAAGATATCCACTGGCCATTACCATAATTTGACACTTGCATGAAATGCTCCCTGCTCCCTTGCAGATAAAACCCAGCTTCAGCAACACAGCACAGCGCTCACCGAGGGGAGCCAGAGCCAACACAAAGGGCTACTGTGGGGAATCGCTATGAAAAGCCAGCCCCCTTTGATCTTTTTAAAAGGGATATAAAAAGCAGTGATGGAGGATCAGCAAATCTGTACATAAATAGGAGCATTTGCATATATAAAGGAAATTTTCAACTTTAAAAGGAGGGAAAACAGGACAAATAATGGAACATGGTCTCTCCAATGCACCTAACTCTACCCGGTAGAGAAAGCAGCCTGGGGAGCCCCTTTAGGGATCATGCCGGCTCTGCCAAGGGGCACATAAGTGAGACACAAGCCTCCACCTCCCACCACCACACCCACCAGGGCACTCACAGGCCTCTAAAGCAAGCTAGTCCCAGGAGAACACGCAAGGAGCTGGGACCATAGGTTCCCTCCAGAACAAGAAAACCATGGCCAGAGGTCAAGTGAGGAAGAATATTCACTGTATACCCTTTAGCGCCTCCTGAACTTGGAACAGTGAATGTATTATGTAACGTTAAATAACTAAAAATTAGACTTCTAATTCTGTGAAGATGAAGCAGATACACTTTTTGCTATTCTTCCTACAAAGTACAACTGAAAACTCTGAGCTTTCTATTTAAAACAAGCCCTTTGTGTTGGCTCTGATAAGATGACTCTGAAAGGTACAAAAAAAGTAGACCAGCTAGTTCCTGGGTTGTCTTTTTGCCTCGTATGTCCTAAACGTAGAGCTGAAGCAGCTGTCAAGATGGAAACAAAAAAGCCCAAACAGAAGCCTGCTCTCTCTAGCAAAAAGAATGGAAAAGGAACTGCCTAGAAAAACAGAAAACTTTTACACAATAATGGCTCTACTCCAGCCAAATACCTCACTGTGCCCCACTCCTGGCCATGCCAGCAGGCCCAGGCTCCTACCCCTGCCAGACTAGAGGGAGGTGCCCCAAATGCTCTGCTAGATGGCATCAGGGAAGGCCAGCTAGGAAGGCAGGACTTTCCTCCCCACTGGACAGTAACAACACACCTCTCCTGCTCCCCACTGGGGTGTCAGAGGAAGCCTAGCAGAGAGCAGGGATGTTCACCACTGCCCAGGATGACAAGGCTCCCCTCATTTTACCCCTCCCCGCCAGAAAAGATCCATGCAGGCCTAGTGGGCAGCTGGGACTCGCCCCCAGGCCCAGCTCCCACGAGGAGGAAAGACGCCCCTTCCAATAAACGGGGGCTGAAACAACTGCACATCAATAGGCAACAAAATATGAACCTGGACCTAAACCTCACCTTTTGTATAAAAACTTACTCAAAATAGATCATGGGCTTAAATGTAAAGTATAAAACTATAAACTTTTAGAAATAAACATAAGAAATTCCTAGATTTGACATCAAAAGCATAATCTATAAAAAGAAAAAGTGATAAACTGGACTTGCTCAGAACTAAAAACTGTGGGTCTGTAAAAGATCCTGTAAAGAGGGAGAAAAGCTACAGACTGTTAGAATATTTGTGAACCACAAATCCTTCAAAGAACTAGTATCTGGAATATATAAAGAACCCTCAAAACACTGCAAAAAAAAAAAATCCCATTAGAAAATGCACAAAAGACATGAACAGACATTGCACTCAAGCAATATGCAGCCGGCAAATAAGCCACAGGATGTTCAACACCATCAGCCACTAGAAATATGCAAATTTGAACCACAACGAGCTATCCCTACACCATTTCAGAAGGCGCCAAAACAACACATCTGACCGATTTGGGAAGATCACTCTGTCTTTGTTGATGTGTGTACATGTATGTGTTTTCATTCTCTCTCTGCCCCCCATTTACCCACAAAGACTCCCACCCTCAGGCCACCAGACACAAAACACAATTTCTAAAATATACTTAAACCAAGAAAAAGCCAACCTTAGCAGGCTCTGACTCATTCCCAAGTAAAAAGTTTCTCATTTCTGTTTGTATTTGGCAACTATCTAATAAAAATTTAGAAAATGCTTATCATTAGGAATTAGGAAAACATCAAGGACAGAGGGATACTCCCAGATTTTATATTACAAATTTTTTTGTTTTTGTTTTTGTTTTTAAAAAAAACCTATATGTTCAAAATGCTGTGATTCTGCTGAAATGAACAAAAAGATAAGAAAATGGCTGAAGATCTTTTAAGAATTATTTTCAAGCTGCAGCTCCTCGCGTGGTAATAGCAGTAACCACCACAACCAGCCTGACCCCAGAGGAGGCACGAGCAGGGCCTGGCCCCGGGAGGAAGGCTGCGGTTACCTGGCCGGGTCAGCTCACTGAATAGCTGAAGGAGAAAGCAGGGGTCGTACAGGCCGTCGAGATCCACCGCGCTCTTGTCTTTGAATATCAGCTCCTGTGCATCCTGATAAAGCCAAAACCAACAAAAATGTGCAATTCAACCACACAAGTGTAATACAGGCTGAGTATCCCTTATCCAAAACGCTGAGGGCCAGAAGTGACTTGGATTTCAGATTTTGGAATATTTCCATAAAAACAATGAGATATTTTGGGGATGGGACCTAAGTCTAAACATGAAATTCATTTATGTTTCATATATACTTATATGCACAGCCTAAAGGCAATTTTGTACAGCATTTTTAATAATTTTGTGCATGAAACAATGTTTGCGTACACTGAACCATCAGAAAGCAAAGATGTCCCTGCCTCATGTCAGTGCTCAAAAAACTGGATTCTGCAGTATTTCAGATTTCGAATTCCCAGGTTAGGGACACTCAACCCGCACCATGTTAATGTGTACCCACATTGCCAGAGCTCAAGTTATTTTGAACATTTAAGGACATAAAACATAAGTGGTTCTGTAAAAAGCAGTGCTTATACATGACATGACAGAATCTTTGGGATTTGCTCCAAAAAATATTTTTGGGGGGCAGGGGTGTTATAAACGAAACAAGTGTGGCCAGTGCTGATAACCACTGAAGCTGGGTAGTGAGCATATGGGGGTCCAGTCTCTGTACCTTTGTATATGGTTGGAAATTAACAAAAAGTTAAATAAACAAAGCTGAGGGTATAGATGAGCCCTTGGAGGGGAAGGGGCAAAACAGCACCAGGCGCACCTCAGGCGGCAGCAGCCTCCGGTTCTGGGGGAAGTGCAGGATGGTCTGCAGCATCCGGTCCCGATCCAGCAGGCGGAGGATGTCCCCGACGCTTGGCTGCTGCCACAGCGACTTGCCCAGGCTCCGGCACGTCTTGTGATGCTCCACGGCCGCTGGGCCCCACAGTAGCACCCTACAGCCACCCAGGGGAAAAGAGACTGGTCACAGGGTCCCCCCAGGAAGAGAATTATAACGATGGTGATGACGATAATGACCACAATAGGAAGCGTTTGTAAAGCCACTAAGTCACATCAGGTGCGGTTCTGGGCGTTACCTGTGTTACCACTTAACCACCATCACAGCTTAGGAAGTAGCTGGTGATGATGGTGATGCTGAGGGTGGGTGACAGTGTCAGTGATGACGATGAAGCCAGCGCATACACAAGAGCTTACGATGTGCCGGGCCCTATTCTAAGCCCTTCACGTGTATAATTCACTCAACCTGCGCAAGAACCCCATAAGGTAGGTACCATTATCATCCCCCTGTGCAAATGGGGAAAGAGGTACAGAGAGGATTAAGAAAGCTGCTCAGCTGGTCACCTGCCCAGTGGTCCACGGCAGGGCCAGGATTCACACTCGGCAGTCTGGCTCTAGAGTCCTTGCTGGAATCCTGACCTTCTCCCTGCTTACGCATGGCCAGGAGCGAACCAGGTCTGCCCGCCCAAGCCTTTCAGCCAGGTCCACTGTGTGCACACCACGCACGGCCTTCACACCACGGCCCCCAGTGCTGCTGCCAGATGCCCACCTCGCCTTCTTCCTGGAACACGACCCAGGCCTCCCTCTTCCTCCCCAGCCCCACCGCTGCCAGGCCATTCCCCTAAAAGCCCAGCTCTGATGAGGGTCGCTTCTCTGCTATATCCTGGAGAGAAATGGAAACACTTCAGTCTGGTACTCATGCCCTTCATAGCCAACTCATCTGGCCTTCCCACCACCCACTTCCCTGCACGAATCCTGTGATCCAGATAAGCTGACCTACTCCCTATTCTCTGAAATGTCCTGA